ATCTCTTTCTCAAAAGCATTTGAAGCCCCTTACATAAATATGTAAAATAGCAAATCAAACGTGTGTGAAAGAGACCAGGTAGACAGGAGGTGAATCCAGGAAGTCAGAGAAAAAGCTGGACACTGCCATTTGTACATTTGCTGCTGGGTTTTCCAGGTACTACAGCAAAAAGAGAAGAATTCTGTATATGAAAATACCACCTCATTGAGCACTGCTGTCCTCCAGAACACACCACATTCCTCTCTTAACGCAAGTGATACTTTACATAAATATTTATTAAATGAATCAAGATTTATAGTGTCTTTAATATTATAAATAACAGTAGTGCTCTGAGGAAAGTCAGCTTCTTTTTAGCACTTGGAAATTTCCCTCTTGGCCCTTCTCCAAATGGAGATATCATAGAAGTAGGGACCATGGTCCCTAATAACATCTTTAAGAATCATGGAGCAATTGTTATATGCAGCTTTCATTCATTTGTTCATTCATTATTTAACTGATTTGTTCATTGAACAACCATTTAACCCAATTTGTCTCAAGAATATGAATTCAAAAACTATAAACGGGGTGCACACCTCTAATCTCAACTACTCAGGAGACAGAGGCAGGAGGATTAGCAAGTTCAAGGCCAGCCTCGTCAACATGGTAAAACACTGTATCAAAATAAATTAAAAGGCCTGGGATGTAGCTCAGTGGTAGAGCACTTGCTATGTAAGGCCCTATTTTTCATCCCCAGTCCCAAGGAAAAAAAACTACACTTCCTATTCTTGGCTAAAGGCTCATCTTATCCTAAAAAAAAAGCTGTGTAGAAGAGGGAGAGTGTAAATAAACAAATATAAAAATGTGGCAGAGCTTGTATAAGGGTCTCCTTGTAGAGTGCTGCTGTTAATACCTAGAAGCATAAGTAGCAAAGGGTAGAAAGTTGCTAAATACTTGTGAGTGCATTTATGAGGTAGATGGAAAGGAAATAACTTCAATCAGTTGGGGGCAGACCACAGGGAGATTTGGGGAGCTGCTGGTGGCCCAGGGGCTAGGGTGATGTTCATGAATGGATGTGGGAAGGCTGGAGACACCTTGTGTCATTAGTTTGATAAATAGATCTTAGTCCCATCTCAAATGCAATAAATGGGAGTTTTATTGTATTTTTGTTTTGTTAACGTCTTTGTCCAGAAGGATCTTCAGCTGATGGCAGGATAGAAGACAACTCTCATAGGAAGAGTCAGCAACTCCTTTGACAAGTGTGACCTCATTATATATTCTCAATAATCCCCCCAAACACTGATTCCATTTTCCATAAAACCGAGAGCTGGGGAGTTGATTTGCTGAAGATCACTCATCTATGAGAAAAAAACTCCCACTCTTCTTAATGAAATGAAATCCTCATTTTATAAGCCGGATTCCATGTGGGGCAAGGAGCTCTCTCCTACACTTCCTATTCTTGGCTAAAGGCTCATCTTATCCTAAAAATATGCCCCTAGTCCCCACTTAGCTACTTTGCATCCTTTGTTAGGGGACACAGAACAGGCTGAAAATCATAAAGTAAAGCAATAATATTTAGGAAATAAACATGAAAACACAACCCCAAATTCTTGTGAATTGTGGTTTAAGACAACACAAATATGCTATCCCACATTTCTGGAAATCTAAAATTCCACAGGCGTCCCACTGAGCTCAAATCAAGGCATTGGCGGGGCTACATTCCTTCCTGAAAGCTCCAGGGGGAATCTGCTTCCCTTCTGCCTCCAACTTCCAGGCACTGTCCTCTCTCCTTTGCCTTTTTCTTCCTCCTTCCACCCTCAATCAGCAACTCCTGACCTTTTTGGGTTGTCACATTTTTTTTTTTCTCTGATTGTTCTGCTAGAAGAGGTTCTCTGCTTTTTGCTTAAGGATTCATGTGATTAGTCAAGGCCTGCCAGGATGTTGCCATGTCAGTTAATGTATTTGCAAAGCATATGATTGTGTTTAGGATTAGGGCATGGACATCTTTGGAAGTCTGTGATTCAGGTCATCATAGCATGGAAATTAGAAAGGTAGTAGTATTAATTTGTTGGATTATTGCAGTGAATGCTTATATTTTTAAATTGCCTTGGCATCTACCTTTAAGAATAAATTTAGCTTTCTCATCACCAGAAGCAGGTATCCATGGCTTGTAATAGTTTTTAATTCTACACCACACCCAATGGCTCAAGCTGATGGCCAGAGGTAATAATTCAGAGGCATCTCTCCTGCCTTGCTGGCTGGGCTACCCACTTCTGTGCCACTTCTTTAAAAGAACTATTTAGATATATGTCCATGCATTTCACCTGTCAGAAACAGCATGGTTGCCTACGTCCAGTGCCTCTGGCTTTAAACCCACCAATCACAGCTCCCTGAAGGAAATCTGTTTGGATGAGGGTCTGGCCCCAGCAAAGGAGTGGGCCCACAAGTGTGTCTCTCAATCTGCCTGTGTTCCCTGACCTCCCTGTGTGGAGGTCATTCTGAACATGGCATATATCCTTTAGGGGGTATACGTACTGAAAACAACTTAAAGTTTCACATTATGGTTGTGTCATTGGAATAGTGCCTGCACTCTGAGTCTGATGATGAGGCACCGAGGAGAGACTTATGCAGGTGGATCTCCTGTCCTCCTTCTTCTGTCTTGGCTTCTGGTGGTTACTAGAAGCAGCAGCAGCAGCAGCCAGATTCATTCAAAACAACCATATCCAGAATATTTAATTATGCCTCACTTTGATCAAGTGCTTGAGAATTGTAGGAAAGAACCAGAAAAGAGAGATGTGGAATTATGTCCATGAAAAGGATATGTCAAGGAATAGAATGCTTAACACTGGGGGGGGAAAAAAAAAAGACCGTATTAGGAGTGGATGCTTATCATTTCAAGTTGGAGTGGGATCAGGGCAATGGGTTAAGGAGGCATGAGATGATTATAAAATATCTTCAAGTTCTGTCCCACAACAGAGGATTTAAACGTGTGCAGTCTATTCTCAGAGGGAAGATCAGGACCAATTCTCTGCAAACTCCTTTGATACAAACTTTTGCACAATTTTTGGCAGGACATGTAGCAAATCAGTATTACCATTATTGGTGTTCTTAAATGGTACAGTCTAGAATTGCTATAGCTGAATGGTGTGGAAAGTCTTATGAAAAAGCTTTGAGCATTAGATGAGGGATCATCTCAGATCAGCTTTCAAATTCAATTTAACCCCTACAGTTACTGAGTCTATGGCTAGGATTTCACTCCTGGCTTTTGAACACTTCTAGTTGCATATAAGTGGAAATGATCAAGGAATGAAAGGGGGAAGGTATTCAGGTGAACATAATATGTGTTTCTTCTTCAAAATACTGATGCATTTGCTACTGAGGAGGACAGTACTAGGCATACTTCCTAGGGAGCTTTTGGCCTTCGACAGAATCCATCATAAGAGTTCATCCTATGCCCACAAAAAGGGGATGCTGTGTAAGTGGTTGTTTGCATTCAGATGCCTCCTGAAAATATTGAGTGGTTTGTGCTATTATTGAGAAACAATACTGTCCCCAGCCAGAGGGACAGTAGAGAATCACAAATAGCACACAAATATTTTAAAAAGAACACTCTCTGGCATATTCAAATGTGAACACCAAACAAACAAATGAACTAGGAACAGGTAAGACTTTAAGAAAATGTAGATGCATTGCTTTGGGTGGTCCATATGGGCATTTAGTGTGACTTGTATATTGAGGAAGTTAGAAAATGGAAGAAGAAAATTAAAATGGAAGAAGAAAATTAAAAAAAAATAGACCAGATCATTTCATCTTATTCCTGAAGACAATCATTATTTTGAGGTTTTTTTTTTTTTTAACCAGTTCACTTTGGGGATGATTATTTGGATTCACTTACATCAGTTCTATGAGCTTCCATAGAAAGTGTTGTTTTTATGTCATTATGTGGATGCTTCTTAAGAGTATTTCTTTAATATTTTTAGTAATTGTGTTATCATTCATTTTCTTGATCTTTTCAAGGCATACCTACATTTTAAAATTATAAACCGAAACAAAAATTATTTTCTATCTCAGAAATGTCCACAGAAATTAGAGGTTAGTTAGAATTTCAGTTGTATTTCAGAGAAGTCGCCATCATTCCTTTTAGCTGCGATTTATGTATCTTCAAGGAGAATCTGAAGTGTCTTTGAAGTTGTAATGATCATTCTAGACTAAGAGGAGCTTGTTCTGACACTTAAGTTTCGTGTCCAATACGGTCAATGACTTCATAGCCTTTCCATCTTCTTTCCACTTCTACGGGTTACCCTACAGCAATAATGCTAATCCAAGCCAGCTCCTGATACGCTTCTCTGTAGTCAGGGGAAGGTCAGCTATTTTTTGATCCCCATGGGAGAAAAGACAGCTCCTCAATCAGTATCTTAAAATAACCAGCCATTCTCAGCTGCCGGGCTGGAGTCCCTCCAGCCGGGACCAAAGGGAATTCAAATCCACGGGCTGGGTCTAAGGAGAGAAGCCACCAAAACATGAACTAGAACTGGCTTCTTGGGAAGATCCTGCAACCTCAAAGATCTTATTCTTTCTTTTTTATTGTTGTTGAGAAGCTACGTGTCTGCCCTACTGCAATTTCTTATTTTATTTAAGAGGAAACCAGTGGACCGAAAATGAGACTAAATATTGCCATCTTCTTTGGGGCTCTCTTCGGAGCTTTGGGGGTTTTACTGTTTTTAGTGGCTTTTGGATCGGACTATTGGCTTCTGGCAACGGAAGTGGGAAGGTGTTCAGGTGAACACAATGTGCGTTTCTTCTTCAAAATACTGATGTATTTGCTAGTGAGGAGGACAGCACTATGCGTCCTCTTGAACTCAGAGAATAGCAGTGGGGTGTCTTTCTGTATAGAAGAGATCTGTAGGAAGCTACTGGTCATCATTACAGGGGAAAGAAGACATTTCTTTAAAATTTTCTGGATGCAGGAATTTTGATTATATTCTCTGAGTCGATGGCAAGTTACTGCCTTTGTTTCCTTACAGATAGAGAATATCACTTTCCACCATGAAGGATTCTTCTGGAGATGTTGGTTTAATGGGATGGTGGAAGAAAATAACTCCAACATCTGGAAGTTCTGGTACAGTAAGTGCAATTTAGCTTTATTTCACCCCTTGTCTATGAAACAAAAAAAGCAGACTGTTTCCTATTTAGTACATATCCCTTACGAAAGTACTGGATTCTTGATTATAAAATCTTAATGAGATGTTTTCAAAGGTCCCAAAGAGAAATGTCTGTAGGTATAATTATTTTTATTTTCTACCATAATTTAGGAATCTGAATGCTTATGGAAAAATGGAGGTATCTGCTGTTGCTCTGCTCACATTTAAAATATACTAACTCTAACAAACAAAACAGATATTATCTACCGTGTTCCTTTTCAAGTGTCTATTTCTATGTTGCAAATAAATGTTCTTTTTTGGGGGGGCTATAAACACATGAAATCTCAAATGTAAAAATTCAGAAATAATGGTATTATTTTATATTCATAGCTTCAAAGTTTTTTAAAAAATGTCTTTTTCATGTAATGAAACTTAATTACCAGCAGTGGCAGATGAAAGCTTTTTCATTTGGTCTTCACCCAAGTTTGTAGGCAATATCAAGAAACGGTTTGCTTTTGATGTTTTCATTCTTGTATAGAAACTTTAAAGTTCCCTTTTGAAGTCAAGTAACTTTCTAAGACCATGATGCACTCTTTCAACTGTATTCCTTATTCTATAATAATCTTTGAAAACCAATTCATTGACAATGGCTAGCATTTATTTTATTGTCTCCCACAATGGAAGAATTGTTTATTAGCCTAAAGCCTATTGAGGGTTGAAATTGTTAGTGTGCTTATCAAATACTCCTGTGAAAAATCAAAGTGTGTATTTACATAGTAGTCAAGGTTACAGAATATATAATAAGAACATAAGGTCACTGAAGACTTAAGCTGATGGCACTTTGTTATATACAAAAGGAACAAAGTAGAGATGAAGTGGCCTTTTTGAGAGGAGGGCCTGCACTGCCCTACAGAGCATTTGGGGCTGGAGAATAAGCATGCAAATTGCCAATGGAAACTTTTTAGACCCTAATAAAGTGGAGTAAGTCAGAATGTGCAAGAGGAAGATTTTGCTAGAGACATAGAGAAAGAAAGAATATATTCTTCCTCCTTACATTACACACAATGATATTTTTTCAGACAACATAAATTTCCTTCATGTGGTTTCCTCAAATGCTAAAAATTTATTTGAATCATTAACTTGGACGATCTATCATTTGTATCTTTTCTGTAAAATAGAATGGGTATAGAAAAATTATATTAATTGGAATTAATCTAAGTTATATCTAATTTTATTAGATTTTTTAAGTTGCTTTTGAATACCTACTGTGTTAGGCATTATGCTAGGTATTGGGGAACATGTGAAAACAAATGAAACATAATGCCTTTGATTTTAAGGTGATACAAAGGGCATTTATTTCATTAAATTATGTCATGCAGCTAGATGTTCTAGATCAGTCTAACTTCCAGGTCTCCTGTGCTATTTGGTAGAGATTTTGTTTCTCATACAGCAAGTCTGTGCATTTGTTGTTGGAACCGACAGTTTCACTGTACTTGTATACCCCTGGCCCCATATTTCTGCTCCATTGGCAAAATATGTCATCTCAGAGCCTCTCAATAACTAATAGCATTGGTGTGCTTTTTTTTCCTAGCCAATCAGCCACCGTCCAAGAACTGCACACATGCTTACCTGTCACCATACCCCTTCATGAGAGGCGAGCACAACTCAACTTCCTACGACTCTGCCATTAGTAAGTACCCCACACTCCACATGCCTCTAAAAGTAACTTAACCTTCTGTTGTGAAATTTTTGTGGGAAATTAAAAAATAACTTAATACTTATAATTCTAATACTTTACCTCATATTAATCTGTTAAATGTTAAAATACATTATCTTAACACATTGTTTATAATTTTAATACGACATAACTTTCATCTAAAAACAGAGCTTATTTTGCCAGGCATAGTGGTGCACACCTGTAATCTCAGCTACTTGGGAGGCTGAGGCAGGAGGATTTCAAGTTAGAGGTCAGCATGGCAATTTAGTAAGACCCTGTCTCCAAAACAAACAAAAAACAGGGAAGGCTGGGGACGTAGTTCTGTGGTAGAGTGCTGTCCTGGTACCTCTAAATAAATAAATCAAATAAAATCAATAAACAAAAGAAGAACTATTTTGATTTACTTTTTGCATATAAAAATAATGTGGTTTTCAATATGAAGACAATGATGGATGTTTCTAAGAAGCCTAAGAGCTTAATTGACCTAAAACTAGTCTTATAACTCAAAATATTATAATACACATACTATTTTTTATTTTGGTACCAGGAATTGAATTCAAGGGCACTTGATTATTGAGCCATATCCCCAGCCCTATTTTATATTTTATTTGGAGACAGGGTCTTACTGAGTTGCTTAGTGCCTCAATTTTGCTAGGGCTGGCTTTGAACTCACGATCCTCCTGCCTCAGACTCCAGAGCCACTGGGATCATAGGTGTGCGACACTATGCCAAGCTACACGGTTTTTAAGACATATGAGAATATGATTATTTTATTGTGTTCATATAAAATGACTGAACTCTTTAGAGTGTGATATACCACAAAAGATAGATAATCAAGCAGTCTTAACTGGAAGACATATTAGAAATATTTAGCTTTCAGTAACTAAAACCACGGGTTTATACCAACTATCAATGCCATACACAAGGCCAAAGAGTATATGTTTGTCAAAAACAATATCTAATATATTTAATTCTCTGGATAAACTGAAATAGAGCTCTCTGGAGATAGAGAACCAATTGAATATTTATGCAGTTGTTCTGCCATATCCTTGGTGGACAGGTCTTCTGCAGATACCCAAATCTCTGGATGCCCAAGTCCCTGTATGTAAAATGGTATAGAATTTACATATAACCTGCACCCATCCTCCTGTTTATTTTATACTCTAAATTACTTATAATATCTAATATAACGTAAATGCTATGTAAATAGTTGCTATGTAGTATTGTTTATGGCATAATGATATAAATAAAAAGTCTGTACATGTTCAGTACAGACACAATATTTTTCTGAATATTTTCAACCAGTGGCTGGTTGAATCCATATATGTGGAGTCTCCAGATATAGAAGACTGACTACATGTGTGTAAGTGTGTGTGTGTGTGTGTGTTTACATGCAAAAAGAGAGGAAAAAGAAGGGGTAGAGAAAATTATTGGAATAATTTGTTTATCTATCTATCTATCAAACTATCTATCTATCTATCATCTATCCACTCATCTATATATTTAATGAGAGGTTGGTTTTAAGGATTTGGCTCATACGATTGTGGGTCCTGGCAAGTTTGAAGTCTGCTGAGCAAGCTGGCAGGCTGGAGATTCAGATAAGAGTTGATGTGGCAGTCTTGAGTCTGAAGCCTCGAAACTCCAGCAGAATTTTTATGTTGCAGTCTGGTGGCTGAATTCCTTCCTCCTCAGGAAAACTTTGCTCTTCAGGCCTTTGACAAATTGGATGAGGCTCACCCACATTATGGAGAATAATCTGCTTTGCTCAAAATGAACTGATTATAAATGCTAATCAAATCTAAAAATACCTTCCTGGAAACATCTAGCTTAGTGTTTGACCCAACCACGGGGCACCGTAGTCTAACCAAGTTGACACATAACATTTACCATCCTAGAACTTAGCACATAGTGGATTCATCTGTTTTTCCAAGTTTGTCAAATAAGCATTTCCATACATTGTAATTTCACTTTGTGTTTGTCAAAGATCTTGCCTTTATCATATTAACACGACTCTTTAAGAAGTGGGTTTGGGGTCTGGAGGAAAAAAGAGATGAGGTAACCTACTTGTGCACCGAAGATTTTTGGGTTCAGAAGACTGTGGCTGCTGGCCTTGGAAATGTGTGAGGTGTGAGTGTCCCTTCCCATTAGAAGCACACCAGGCATCTCACCCACACTTGTCGGGACCCTGTTTCATGTAGAATGTGGATGATCTTACTGTTGTGAAAAGAGATGGTGGTATGGGAAAGAGTGGGAAAAACTACTTTTGGTTTATGGAAAAATTACAAAGAAGGGGTCACCTTCCAGATATTCTTTCTTTTGTAAAAGAAACTCAGAAGTCATGCAGGGATGACTTTCCAGAACACAAGGTATTTGCATTAATGTAAGTATTGACATTGTTTTTCATCTGTTGAGGTCCTTCTATGAGCCATGTATTATTGACACTATATATTTTTAAAAGAATCTACATATTTGAAAATTCTGTACCTCAAAAAGGATAGTGGAGTAGTAGAAAAACAAGGTAACATAATCTATGCATAATAATTATGATGGAGATGGATAGTAAATACATGTCAGAGAAATTACACTGCAATTACACTTAGAATTATTATGTAGCACTGCATATAATTACTGTGTCATTTTTTGGATCTAGTGACAAAACCATTTCCAATTTTTTTTTTTTAAATTATCAAACTCTTCTTTGGCATACATATTGTAACTCCTTATTCACTTTAAACTACTTTATAAGAAACTTTAAATAAAAATGACTGAGATGTGCAATACAGGTCTTATGACAGAAGTAATATAAGAGTTTCTTATTTCCTCATAATAATGTACAAAGATCTCTAATGTTAGTATGCTCTGTGTTTTTCCTTGTTTCCTGTATCTAAGAGAATGACATATATTTTTTTAAAAAATGTTTTAGTTATTGATGGACCTTTTTAAAAAATTCATTTATTTATATGTGGTGTGAGAATCAAATCCAGTGCCTCACACAACATGTGAGGCAAGCACTCTACCACTGAGCCACAACCCCAGCCCAAGAATGACATAGGTTTAACTAATATAAAAGTATTCTACCTTGCTTTTCTGAATGTATTTCCTAGTTAATGAGACTATACAGTCTTCAATACACTCCACAGCTACTACTTAGCTTTATATAGCTTCATAATTATCAGGCATTGCATACTTAACAAGTTATTTTCAGTAAATTGCAAGTATTGTTTATGAAATCTAATGTATTATGACCCAGAACATTGTTGGCAAAACTATCCTGTATTCTCCTGAGCTTTTACAATACACGTGTCAGTGACAAATTCAGTGAAAATACTATCATGGTCTTTGATTGTTTTTTGAACTCTTATTTTTATTCTTTCAGAGTGTCAGAGGACAGTACTGATGGCATCAGTAACTGAGACTTGGAGGAAGCATGAGACCCCTTCACACAGTTGATTATTGGTAGAACCTAAGACAAAGATTCAAGTCTCTGGTCTTATTTCAATTGACAATCTTATAAACTCCAGTAAAGGAAAAGACTGAAAGCAGTGCTCACTTGTAAGAAGTGTAATTCTTCTATTTGTACCTCAATCAAAAACCAAATTAAACCCACATCGGCTTTTTTCTGCCTTTCTATCTGCACCTGACCTGTGTATATGCTCAGGTCTAATTCACTATTTCCTTCAGTTGTTCTTTTTTAACTCTTAAATACATATTCTGAAATCCAGTTTTTCTCCATTATAATTATTTGAATGATTGGCCAAGGCTAGGGAGAGTGGCCTAATTCTCAGAATTGTCTGTGACACAGGCTTACTATTTCAAAGTCCCTTAAATCATTCTATTACCTTTTGAGATTTGTTAGAGTTTAGATTTTCTGGTTTATTTTTTGCTTACATTCAGTCATACTTCACTTTTTTTGGTATCATTTGGTAATGATATACTGGACATAAATTAATTTTCAAGATAATTCAACCCTGAGGGAATTAAATTCCCCTTTCTTGGGGTTCACATAATCTCTGACACTCCGCTCCCCACATATCAAAGTGCTGTAAGCTTAGCTGTAATTGTTCACCTTAGATTCTTCATTATTTCTTCTAGCTCCCTAATGGCACAGAAGGTAAGCTATTTGTAGTTTTATCCCTAGGACTTAGTTTTAGTACCTGGTAATTGAGAGATACTTAAAAATTTATGTAGAATAGCTTTAAGCAAAAAAAAAAAAAAAAAAAAAAAAAAAAAAATCGCATTTAGTATTTTCATCAATAAGTCACTTAAATTTTAGGGGTTTTTTTCAGGTGGAAAATTTTAGAAACTTAATTGTATTGTACTATTTTTTTTTTCAAGGGAGGACAGTGCTGGGGATTGAATCAGGGCCTCATACATGTTCTACCACTAAACCATAAACCCTGCTCTAATTTTCTTACAAAGCCACATGTATTGAACATAATTTCACTTTTTCTTGGCAGATTGAAACACACACACAGCTAGCGACCCTAGCCTTCGAGTTCTGCAAATTCAGTGTTTGTCTCTGTCTTCAGGGCCTTTGTACATTCTATGACCTTCCCACAACGCAATTCCTGTTTTTGTACCCCATCCTCCCTTCATTTCTTTAAACAGGTTTATTCTTTTGCTAGTTCAAGTTCAAACCTCAGTGTTCGGAGGAAGGCTCCCTTGCTGTCCCTGTACCCCACTAACATATGGACTAGATCAGCTTCTCCTTTATGAAAACATTTTTCAGATAATTTATACAAAATATTTTAATTATTTATTTGCATAATTACTGTGCTCATGTATTCTATTTGCAATTCAGTCTAAATTCCATGAGGATGGTAGTCTCATGTGACCAGCACACTGCTGTATTGTACCCACTCTAGGCTAAACTCCCAGTGAATATTTTGGGGAATTCTCCATTATTATACTGCATATGCCCAAGTATCTATTGATGGGTGGAAGATTCCTTGAACGCTTTACAAAATGATCCC